TGTATACACACCGGATGAGGATGGGGGGACTACTGCATACACACCGGATGAGAATAAAGGGGGACTACTGTATACACACAGGACTTTTTACATTTAAAAATCAGTGTGTTAGAATTTGTACAAGTACTTTCTGCCAGAAGCTGCCCACCTCTGCATGGGCGTGCATGGGGTTGGGGCCTGGACAGGGGAGGGTGAGATGCCTGCACCTGTTCATCTCACTGGTGTGGACACTGCTCAGAGTATTCTGGATCCTTTTCAAAACCGCCCCCAAAGCCAGCACAGCACAGCCCAAGTCCCCAAGTCCCCAAGTCCCCAAGGCTGTGGACGGAGCTCTATGGTTCCTCCCTTTACAGAACTGGGAGAACTCGCCCACTGGGGCAATGGTCGCCAAGTGTCAGGAGTGCTGGCTGCTGAGCAATGGGAGCAGATGCTTGGGGCCACAGGGCTGGACGGCGCCCATAAACCCCAGGTCCAGGGCCCCTGCAGGAGGCCCGGGACCCAGGGAGTCTCCCCAGTGCCCGCGGCAAGCCCTCCTGGCGGACGACTCACGTGGAACGCTGCGACAAAGAAGGTCAGCGCCAGGAAGTATAAGTTGGTATCTACAAAAATTCCTTTCACCTCATCAGCATCTTTCTCTGAAAACCCTGCCAAGGAAAAAAAAACACACAATATAAAACAGGCAATATCAATCTTACCTAACATTACAAATACAGTTTTCAATATAAAAATTTAGGCCGGGCACAGTGGCTCATGCCTGTAATCCCAGCACTTTGGGAGTCTCAGGTGGGTGGATCACTTGAAGTCAGGAGTTTGAGACCAGCCTGGCCAACACGGTGAAACTCCATCTCTACTAAAGATACAAAAATTAGCCGGGCATGGTGGCACACGCCTGTAAATCCTAGCTACTGGAGGGACTGCGGCATGCGAATCGCTTGAATCCAGGGGGGCGGAGGCTGAAGTAAGCAGAGATTGCGCCACTGCACTCCAGCCTGGGCAACAGAGTGAGACTCTGTCTCAAAAATAAATAAATAAATAAAAATAAATCTCGTCAACAGTTAAGGTTCATTTGACCAAAATCATGGCATTTCACATATTATGTTCTTAATAAAGCCAATTTCCAGACAATCAACCAGGTCATCTCCAAGGAGAGAAGTGAGGCAGGTGCTGCTGAGCCTCCGATTCAACGTCTGTGTGAGTATCTGCAGCAGGAGGCGTGGAGGCCCCGGCCTGTGTCAGGATTTGCACTCAGACGCCCGAGGGGCTCCAGGGCAGCCTCATCCTGACGCCGGCCGTGTGCAGCACGTACCGAACTGCTGCAGGGAGTACACGGCGTCCTGCATGTGGATCCAGAAGCGCAGCCGTCCCAGCGAGACCTTGTCGTAGGACACGGTGAGGGGCAGCTCGGTGGTGGAGCGGTTTATGACCTGATGAAGACAGCCACACTGAGGGCCCTGCCCTCACACCCTTGCGCCCAGCTGCTTGGCAGCCCTCGTCAACCCTGCCATCCCCCTTCCCATCCTTGTGTGGCCCCATGTCAGACATGACAGGACCCAGCAGGTGTCCTGAGGTCCCTCCTTCTGTCACCACAGAACCCAGGCCCCAGCGTGCTGTGTCCCAGTACAGGGAGGTTCCCACCACCACCAGGACCCTGTGAGCTCAGCAGTGCTAGCACTGCCTGGGCTGTTCTGCTGCACATGCCCCTTCAATTTCAAGTGCACAAGTCCTGGTTCCCTGGAGGTGATGCTTGCCACCCATCTGCTAGGAATCCACGGCGTAGCATACAGCGCTGAGCTTGTCCTGCAGAGCGTTGACTCGTCCTAAGAGTTGGGGACCACGGGGCACGCACAGCCCTGCAGCACATGGGCAAAGTGCCCTCAGGGCCTAAAGCATGGAGCAGGCGGTGGCCATGGGGACAACAGAAGGCTTCCGGAATGCAGAGCTAGCACGGGCAGTGGCATGGATGTGTGGGCCTCAGAACAATAAGCTTAGTCCTGCGGCCCGCCGGGGTCTCATGCACACAGGCTGCAGGCCAGGTCCCAGGGCACTGAGGTAGGAGGGTAAGGAACGGGTTCACAGGGGCAAGCCCACACCCTGCAGCACATGCACAGTGACCACACCCGGTGAGCGCCACCCTCCACACGCTGGACCGTCCAGCGAGGGTTGTGCTCTAATCCACCTGCCCTGCCTCACGCCCTGACCCGCCATGGCGGGCACTGCTGGTGTCAAGGGTGTGGTGGAGTCAGAGCCACAACCAGCAGGTGCCAGGTTGTCCTGAGAGCAGCTGTCAGGGCGCCCCACGCAGCCAAGTGGCATCAGTGCACGTGGACGGTGGCCCCCAGGCACCCCTCGAGCTGCCAAGCGTGTCTGAAGGGTGTCACTGCCCGCTACATCTGGCAGTGCTGGACCCAGCCACAGAAGGTGCCGACTTCCTGCGCCTGCTGCGTCCCAGCTGCCTGCTTCCTCTCTTAAGACAGCACCTCTCAAATCTGGCCCCAAGTGAGACACAGCAACAGAGACACAGCACATGAGAGACCGGGATTCAGGGACGCTGCTGTCGGCACGTGTCTCCATAACTACTGCAGCGCGGGCCACCACCGGCACAGCTGTGCCACAAAGCCTGCCCCAGGCCTCTACCAGACAGATCTGCAGACACACACACAGGGCAGCCTTCTGCAGCCGCCTGCCCCTTCCACCGTCTTTTGAACGCCTGCAAGGAGTCAGCAGCATGAGGCCTCACAAGAGGGGACCACGGGCTGGTGCCACAGCTCACACAACTCCGTATGGGACATTTCAGCAGAAGCTGCTGTCCTGAGGTTTGTCAGCGGCACACCAGCAAACTCCAGGCAACAGAGAAAGGCACTGGAATTGCAGGGCTGACAGAGAAACCGTTCAGGGAGAGGCTGGAGCACCAGACCTGCTCGCCAGTCACTGCCTGTCCGGCCCCCAGTCTGCAGGTTGTATAGGAGCAATCAGTGACCCCAGAAGTGAAGGAGGCAGTGTTAGGGACCACAAGGGGTCTGAGGGAACAGCTGTACAGAGCGACGGTTCTGAGAGCCACAGTCAGCAGGAGGCAGCAGGGCCTGGGCAGAGATCAAAGCAGTCAGGAGGCTGCGCCCCCATTTCCCAGCTGCACCCACCCCCCCAGCAAGCTCCCTGCTCTCCAGGTGCCCACTCCCCAATTTCCCAGCTGTACCCCCAGCAAGCTCCCTGCTCTCCAGGTGCCCGCCCCCCGTTTCCTAGCTGTACCCCCAGCAAGCTCCCTGCTCTCCCCAGGACTGTTTCCTTATCAACAAAAATGGGGAGAGGGCCCGCCTCAGAGCTGTCGAAAGCCGTAAGTGAAGCGGCCTGGCTCCTACTGGGTGGTCTAGAGTGACAGCGACAGCTTGCAGGGAGGCAAGGCAGAGCAGTGATCTTGCAGGGCCCCAGCTGAGCGTTCATCTCTGAACCCCAAATAACCTCATCCATGCAACGACGCCACAGCTCCCAGCACGATTACAGAAAGTTCACAGAGTGCTTAGCACAGTGCCGCATGTGCAGCAAGGGACATTAAATATTAACCGCTTCTGTGAGTCTTGACACTGGCCAAAGGGTAGCCACATTTCATCTCCCCTCAAAGCAACCCTGGGAAAGCAAGCGCCATCACTGCCCGTAACCACATGGCGCCAGAGCCCAGAGTGCAGCCACTTCCCTCCCGCACAGGCCTTCCGCCCTGCCAGGGGTCACCCCCAGAGCTGAGGAAGGCTGTCACCCGCTCCTCTGGCCGCCTGTGCAGGACTAGCCCTGGCGGGGAAAGCAGGAGTTTGCTCAGGACACTCTGAATTAATCTACATGGCACACCAGGAGCTCACACGCAGACGCTGTTTCACACAGCGCTCAGGCGCCTGCCCTCTAAGCGCTGCATAAACAGTCTTTCAGGGGCCTTTCACCAGCGACAATCCAGAGGCTCAGGAGGACCCCACGTCCAGCCAACAGCAAACCCAGCGCACCACCAGGGCCGCCCCCCGTCACAGCCCTCGCACGCCCGAAGGCAGAGCTTCCCAGCACAGGTAAAAGCTCTGTGCTAAATGTCAGCAATGGCCCTGTCCATTAGGGTGCTGGGGGTGCGGGGCCAGGCTTGGGATCAGTCTCGCCAGCTGCACAACCAGTGGGCAGAGGCGTCACTCACCATCAGGTCCTTCACACGGTTGCTGAGCTGGTCGATGAACAGGATGGGCAGGTAATGCACGGTCTTCCCCAGCTGGATCCTGGGATTAAAGCACAACTTTCCAAAATCAGTCCAAGGTTTCTCCCTTTCAATGAACCAATACATCCAGGCACTGGGTTTACCCCAGAGAAGTCCCCCCAGCACCACCCTCAGCGGCTTCTCAGTCACAATGACCCCAGGGCACAGCCTCCCCAAACAGAATCAGAGAGCCAGACAACATATGCACGCTTCTGAGACCCACTCCCCAGGAAGTGACGGCCACAGGTGGGAAAATGCCTCCACGGCCACTAGGGGGAACTACAGGGACATGGCCGTAGAGCAGAGCCCAGGGCCCTCTGTGCACGGACATGGAGCAATCCCAGGACGTGGCCGCTACACTTGGAAGGGCGAGTCACCTGCAGCCACCTAGGAGACAGAGCTGTGGTGTGGGAGTTGGGGGGGATCCCCAACACATGGGAGACATGGGGTGAGCTCAGGTGGCCAAACACGTAAATTCCAATAATTGTATTTAATTGATGGCAAGTTACACTAAAGTAATAATCTAAAGGTTAACTTTTAGGTAAATCTAAATGAGCCAAGTTAAAAAATCACAAGGGCAGCAAAGCAACACATTCCCGTGAGCACCTTCCATTTTCTCTCCATGGAAGCCTTCGCCAGCCAGGAGCAAAGGGCAGGATGCTCCGGCTTGAATTCCCTTCTTCTCCCTTCCAGCCCTCTGGTAGCAGCACAACCTCAAGGAGGAAGTGGGAAGGGCTGGGGCCCGGGCAGCGAGGGCCTCGGCACAGAGGGGGAAGAGCTGGGGGCCTGGGCAGCGAGGGCCTCG